AAAGTATTATTATCTCCTAAACTGACAGATCACTCGTTCAAACGCAACCCATGCATACCTTTCATATACAGATTTGGTAAGTTTTGCACACTTTTAAAACTCTATTTGTATACAAAATAAAAACATCTATATTAAAGAAACAGTAAATAATTTTCCACTCTTAATTTAATTTTGAAATCACAATTTATTTTATTTACAGAATTCTGACGGCATGTATGCCTGTGAAGTGAGCACTGAAGGTAATGTTGTCTAGCAATCAAATAAATGATTTAGTTTTTAACAATTTATTCACTTTTCCAATTACTAAAATATTTCGTGTTTTGCATGCTATCATTATTTAAAAGTAAAAATTAATACATTCAAAATAAATATAATTGAGTGCATTTTCACTTTTTATAATATTAAGAAACACATAAATCTCTAATTTTGAGCATAACTTAGATTTTTATCAAAAGGGAAACGAATTCTTCGATAAAAACGAAAATTCTAATCAAAATGATTAATTGGATTGAATGGAGAATATTATTGTAGATATAATCAAATTAATGCTTACTATAGACTCGGCTGAACCGCTAAATTAATTGCCATTTGTTAAAGAGGTTTTCAACAAATTTATTATAATTTCATACATTATATGTAACATTACTTTCGAGGCATTTGTTTAGCGGAGCTAAAAATATAGCACTCGCAGTGAAATGTTAGGTTTATACTAATGATTATCGATATCACAACTGAATTATAGCACAGAATATACTGAACGGACATTATTAGCATTCAATTTAATGGCTTTATTGTAATGGAGTTCATAGAACTTAACGTTTGATAATATTTTACTTTTATTTCATGCTCTAAACATAAACTTTTTTGTGTGTTTCTATTTATATGATTTTATTTGGTTATTAAAACCCTTTATATTTATTGTTTAAACATTTTAATGTTATAGTTATTGGAAAAGAATTTTATCACAAATTATATTCTATTGGATATAATTTAAAAGTTTCATGTAATTGTCGGTATAATGGATGTGAAATAAAAATTGCTTCTCATTTGTGATCTCTTTTCGGGTGATTGTGTCGACTGTTTAGGTCCGTCCTTCTCCACCATCAGAAGTGAGCGACTAATGAAAGTTTACGGTAAGGATGTACTGTATATATAGTATTGTATTCGCGACTCAAACTAAAACAAATAGTCATACATTAGAACCAACTCTACCTAAAACACCGGTAGGAAAGTGTGTGCGGGAGAGATGTGTGATTGTGAGAGAATGGGGGGAACGGCTGCTAACTGTATATAAATTGATGTCTTCTCCAATCGGCGCTCACTCTATGACTCTTAAATTGAAGTGTTATTTCAAACTCATTGGTGTTATGAAGGGAAGGGATGCTGTAGTTGTGATTTCAGGCAATATTGCAGTCAATAGGATGACAGACGTATACCTTTTGAGAGAGAGAGAGAGAGAGAGAGTAATTCAATGAACTGTAATTTACATTAAAATTACTAATTAAAATATTTATTTTTTGATTTATGAGAAAGGCATATAATCTTAAATTCATAATTTAAGAAGTTATAATAGTAAAATAGTGTTTTAAATAATTTATTTTAAAATAATCATCTCATATATATACTTGCTCATTTGTATAGTTATTATAAAACAAAACAAAATAAAAGATTGGATTAAATAATAGATAAGAAAAGCTAGAGAGAGAGAGCGAGAGAGAGAGCGAGAGCGAGAGAGAGAGCGAGAGCGAGAGAGAGAGAGAGAGAGAGAGGTGTTGTATGTTTTGGAAGTTAACGGATATAAAGAATGAGAATTGAGTTTCATTTCTCGATTGATCGCCAATTGTTAAGTTGGAGGGCATGTCAGCCACCATTATATTAGCTTTATATGGGAATGGGATCCAGTAATGAAGAATAGTGTTCAATAGCTATAAATAATTCATTACACAATGATATGGAGACCGAGTGTCTGAGTGTTGATGTTTATGTCGTTTTCGACTCCGAAAGCCATACCTTTGTGTCATTTGGGAAATGAGAAAAATACCATTTTCTGATGCCTTTCCCCACTTCTAAACTCAGTGTCTGTTCACTCCAATACCCACCGGTCTATCTATGAGTGAATGAGAGCTATAAAGTAATCATTTATATGATCAATACATCATTTTCTGTTTTATATTGAAATTAATGGTCACTTTCTTTTGAAACCAAACTTAAGTTCAGTTCAGACCCGCAGTCGTGTCAATAAACTGCGAATTTCACTGTTTATTACATTAGGAACAGGGTAGCTATACATACCATTATAATCAACCGATTGTATTATACATTCACTTAATTAATAGTCGTGTCGCTCACCCTTTGCTGCAAAGCGCCGGCGACTCGCAAATGACACAAACTTATCAAAATTAGGGCTAATTTCATGAGAGAACTGTATGTTTGAAGGCCTGGTATGTGGCGGTCATTATCTACAATGCAAACACACAGTGACTAATACAGTGACCATATCTCACACAAACGGCTAACTATTTGCCAGAAATAGCAGAACTGAAACTAATTCTGATAAACAGTATATTATGGATGAAATTGAGTCTCAATTTATTCTCTATATTCTGTATTTTGTTGGCAAAGCTTTACCACAAGAAAACCTGCAGATAGAGGGCAAAGAAGTTCAATACGATGTTAACGACAAGATTAATCTGAGCTGTAGGTCCGGGGATGGGAGGCCTCTTCCACAGCTTTCCTGGTATATCAATGACAATATGGTAAGACTTCTGAGACAAAACATACTTCAAAACCATTTATCAAAAGCCATTTATCCGCACAATTCAGTGCACAGACACATAGAAAACACACAATTCTTATACTATTTTTTAAAATCAAATGGATTTTAAAAGTTTATCCGTTTTTGTGAGAATTTTCAGTATTTTCTTTGTTTTACAATAAGTTTTTCACTATTTATTAACTCACAATCTCTCGGGACAGACAGTGGGACTCGTATTTGCACTTAAGAACAGTTAGACAATAGTTTTTAACTTAGTTTTTACTGGCGATAGAGAAGTACAGTATTTGCCTTTTGTTTGTTATCCACACTTGTGTTCCGCTATTAAAGCGTTTGGTATATAAATACAATGAGTGTGTTATGTATGATATGTTTGTCTTTGGTAGGCATCAAGCGATCAGTTAATGATTTATCCGCCGAAAACAAACGCAGACGGACTGCAGAGCACCAAATTAGGGCTCGTATTCCGGGCCACTCCTAACTACTTTCATCGGGGAGTGTTGAGGTTGCGCTGCACGGCTACCCTCACTCTGGTCTACGACTTCGAGGCAGTCGAGTATGTGGTCAGCGGAACCGTTAAAAACAAGACATATTTGACACCACATAATAAAGGTTAGACTCGTACTATTTGGCTCAATGTGCTATTAGTCGCTAATTAGATAATATGACAGCACAACCGATATAGTGATAGATAAATGACAAATGCATTCACATTATTGAACTAAATCTCGATCGCAAACCGTCACGTACTGTATCATTGCTGTGACCCATTCACTCATTTAGTCAATTATTATATAAGTATTTGTTGAATCCCACGAAACGTATTATGGGAAAACTTTATATCAAATTTATATAAGAAACAGAAATAATATTAATTATAGATATTTTTTATATATCGTAGATGCTGGTAAATGTTATTAAATTAACAATTTATGATTTTATGATTATCTTTTTTGTTTTATATCTTTTTATATAATTTGAAAAATATCAGCAACTTTTATAACAAAAGCATTAAAAATTTACAAAGTTTAAAGTACTGCAAATATGTTTGAACTGCATTTTTTCAAATGGCAGTCAGAATGAAGCTATTAAACGCTATTATAATAAACATGTTATAAAACCAAATGTCCCTATTTGTATCAGTATTAATACTTTTTTTTGTTTGCTTAAACAGAATATATTTTTAAGGAATTACTAATGAAATTCCGTATAATAGTATAATAATAATAATGCAGAATATATTATAGGAATATGTAGTAATAATAAAGTAATTGGTATATTCTTATTACACTAAAACTGTATTTTAATTTAGATGTAATTGGTTGTGTTTTATTATTTTTATATTCAATTATTATTCTTATTATAATAATGAGAATAATTTAGTCTTATTTTTCAAAAAGTATTGAAAATTACTCGTATACTAAAATTAGTGAAATGACTCCGAAATCAATTGCATTAATATTCAACCAAATTATAGGGTAATATGCATTAGTGAACTCTTTTATAATAATATTAAACATTATTTGATATTTAATGTAATGTATTGTAAAATACAAAAGAAATCAACCATTCATTTGTTAGTATGAATCGAGAAAAAAGCGAGAATTGAATACATTGTATTGCATAAAAGTTATGCAAAAANCTATCTATATTTGCGATAAAAACACAATAGAGAGAAAGTTTTGACAAAATTAGAAAAATAGAGAAATTATTTAATGTTTTTATTAACTTTATTAAAGTTCAAGTGTTATCTATGAGAGTAGGAGTATATAAGAATTGTTTGGGGAAATATAATTTGTAAAAAATAAATTCAATTTAGCTAAGAGAGAGTAAAATATAATATTTCTCTTTATTTTCAAGACATTTATCATCAATTATTAGCGGTAATGACTGTCACATCAATCTTATGTCAGATTAATTACGATAAGATTTAATTAATTTGAAAGTTTGAGCAACATTTCTTATAATAGTTATATAAAATCAATATTAATTACTTGTATGCGTTACAAATGAATGTATATTTAAAAATATTTCATGTTTTCTATTATGTTATCTCATTAAAGGACTCGTACTGTAGTCTCATTTAACTATTTTTATTAAAAATATTTGTGAGAAAAAATCATAATTAAAATTTAAAATATTTTTATATTAAAATTTCACTATCATAAAGTAATTTATCATAACATAACATTTCAAGTTATTTGATTCATGTCTATAGAAATATTATTCAATTGAAATTTTAATTAAAAACATAATATTAAAATACATGTATTTAAAACTAAAACTTTAAAAACCCTAAAATGCGGTTTTAAAATACAAATATAATCTTAACACAGAATCCGATGAATATAATAAAGTTTGTGAACATAAATATGTAATTCAAGTTCACATAATAAGACACAATTTAAATATTTAAATATATTTATGAAATTCATTTGATAACACAAATGCATATATTTATCGACAGTGTATACAAAACTGTTGGCAAAGCCAATGATGCAGAGCTTAAATAAATTGAGCCAGGGTTAGTTAGAGATGAGAGACACACAAACACCTCACTTGTGCTCAAACACACGCACATCCATTGATTAGATTCAGAGGTGGGGGTGGCATATGATATATGAGTGCCTTTTTATGCAATAATTTTTTCATTCAGTTATATACTATGGGGATAAAAAACAAAAAACTCTCCGATTGAGTTGCAAAGCATTTTTACATAAATTGCATACTGTATATAGGTATATAGCCTAATAGCAAAACATGTTTATATACGATAGACACAAATATTATGCAATGAATGGATAGCATAAGGATAGCGATAGAGAGTAACGATGCGGTGATTCACAACACATTCTCGCGGGTATTATCACAAAAATAGAGGACAATGTATAACGTGTTATGTTTCCAATAAAATGCAATTCAATTGAATGAATGCCAAAACTAGTGTTTCTATTCTTCTTGTGTTTTGCGGTCGTTTTCGCAGACAATCAATGCAAACAATTAATCGCTTAATTAGATTGTCGTTAACACACACAATAAGTGCAACCCATTTGCTATCAACTCTAGTCTCAAGCCTTGTTTTGATTGTCTTACAGATTGTTTATCCCTACGAATAGTTGGTTTTGAAGTTCCGTCGGCCGTAGCGAAGGGACAGCCGATAGCACTGCACTGTAACTTCGACCTGGAAGGGGATGAGCTCTACTCTGTGAAGTACTATAAAGATTACGTCGAGTTTTATCGATATTTGCCAACCGATGAGCCCCGACCCGCACAAAAGTTTAAGCTTAAAGGAGCTTATGTTGACGTGAGTCAAACTCCCAGACTCTATTAATTCATACTATTCTTTATGTTCACATATTTTTTTATAATTTTTAAAATGTACACAATTTTGCCCCAATTTTTAAGCCCATTACAGACCATACCTTTGAGTCACTCTAGGATTCCCTCCTTTTTGAAGATAAAACTTTTTATGTGAGAGACTATTATTAATCAAACTCTCAAATGCAATAAATCTGTTTTATCTTCAAAAACATAAATGTCTTCCCAATAACTCATTGAACAGAATATTCTTATATTTTGAATATTAGTTACTTTGAGTAAAAATAGGAATACATTTCCAAAATTAATAATAATTAGATTTAATGACAAAAACTGCAATCAAGAAGTAGTGAGTGATTGAGACAATGGTCTTAAAGCAAAGGACAACTACTCGGGAGACGTAATGACTGCCATCCCGAGAGCGCACAGTTGGGTGGAGTCGCTGGAGATGAGAAGGAAAGGGAGAGAGAGAATACTAGTGCCTAAAAGTCAGATTAGCCTGATATCTGAACACACCATCGAAATGTTGTTCAAAGAGACTCATCGCACGATATTTTTCACGTCACCACTCAATCCTTTGCGCGTTTAGTTGTATTCAATCTTTTGGGAGGCTTTCCTTTTCTCCACCGTTTCTTACTATTAGTTCAATACTGTATATAAAGTGTACAAAACCAGCACAAGTTTTATACCGATTATGCTAATACTGCTAATCAAATATTATGTCTGACTTCAGATTTTCATAGACTTATACAGTAAATGTAGGACCGAGTTGTGTACAGAGTAGTTTTAGTTCAAAGTTAAGCTATAATGCCCATAGAATTACATTGTAATATTTTTGTTTTTAATACAAAGATACTTCATATTTATGTTTGTTTTTATAATTTTTTAGTAAATACATTTTGATAACAAATTTATCTGTATAATTATTATATTATAATATATTCTCAAATCTGATATAATATTTTTAAAAATCAATGAACATTCAATAGACTCCAAGAATACCTGCTAAACCCAAACTGTTTTATGCAATTGGTGTCACTAAATAGTGAAATCTATTAGAAATAGTATATAAGTCAACAAATGTTAAATAAGGCTTGGTAAGTAAGTTAAAAGCTGAAGAGAAAATATTGAAATATTTACGAAAAGATAACTAAAAATTTAGGGTAACTACAGACATTTCATTTAACACATAAGTTTATAGACGACAATAACAGTTTCGACTCGCAATCTAATTATGAGTTTACTTCAATTCAAAGATATATATTTATACAAATCATTAATGGGAAAATAATTTAAACAAAATATTGTTATCTAAAACTGTAACATTGAAACAATTTAAAAATAATTTAGTATACTGTATAAATGATATAAATTAATAGTTTCAATATAAAGTTCACAAGTCAACCAAAAATAGAAATTTCAAACCAATTAAATCTGAAGATTTTGAAATATTTAAATGATAATGGAGGTTTAACTCATATTTAGATTGAGTGCATTGATTAGCGTTTATAGTATACATAAATATTCATTGATTTGAAGATATGCAAAAAATAGTCTATAAAAATAGACATTATATAAGATTATATTGAAAAGTATTATTATCTCCTAAACTGACAGATCACTCGTTCAAACGCAACCCATGCATACCTTTCATATACAGATTTGGTAAGTTTTGCACACTTTTAAAACTCTATTTGTATACAAAATAAAAACATC